CGCTGCTCCCAGAACAACACCAAAACCGACTTTTGTGGACAGTAGTGGAACAGAATTTCTACTTGTATTTCCGTGGAACAACGCACCGATTGGCTCTAAACAGGACATTTACCTTGATTTAATCAACTTGGATGAATTTAGTTCTGCCCATGTGAATATAACATATTATACGTTGAACGAAAACAACACTTCAGAAAAGAATGAGGATTACCTTGATGTTCCGCCCACTAATGCTAGTACAGTAAGTTTTAGGCGTCCACACCCTCTAAACTAAATCTCACTTTGAAACCTTTTTTCAGCCTAGGTCCAAAGCTATGCGACCTGGTTTATCAAACATGTTTCAAAGAGTATTTCCTATATGACTTTCCGGACCAGAAAAAAATAATCTAGCCAATACTTATCGCTGCATTTTCAATATTCTGTTGATGAGGCTTTTTGGAGAGTTGCCATAGATTACTTCAATCATTTCTGCTCCTAAGCGCTTCACTGTTTGATGTGATGAAAATTGATAATTGAGTGAAAATTTCAGTATTTCTTACCGAAGAGCTGTGTTTGCCAGAAAAGAACTTATATGACTGGCGTTGATCAAGTACCAAGTACAAAAATTTATCTAGTCTCTGATATACCAATCTCAGTTGTGGGACATAACTATTACAACGGCATTGGAGACTCATTCGGAGGTGCAAAATTCACATGCCTATCTTCGCTCGCAGCTGTAACGCTTGAATTTCTTTTTGCCTGCCGTATTAAATTTAGCAACAGGCTATTGGCAACTTTCTCACACCACTCAAGTGTTTATGGCTTTACCAGTTCCAGATAAATTTCCCTTTGTTACGAAAAGCCTAGTTACGTTTCAATTATTGAAACAGTCTGAGCTGAGAAAAGCCTTTTTATGCCACTGTTGAAACACCTTTGAAAGAACTTCTGGCGGTTCTGTCAATTTTGCAACTTATTTCAAAACACTACTTGCAAATTTCTTCAAACGAGTGAGCCTGTAAACAAGCAAAGGCTGAAACATGATGGCTTATAAGTCATTCATCCGTCAAATTTTTTTGAATCATATTCAGTTGCGAATGCTGACACCGCATTGCTACTCAAGAATTGAAACTAAGTCACTTTGAGAATGCCGCACACCTCTGGCTTCCACTTTTTTGTCTCAATCAAATTTCGTAACCTTTATTTCTCTCAGGAAAAAAAGTTTACAAAAACAAGCGAGTAGTTTTCCGTAAACGCGCAACAGCTTGTAAACACAAAAAAAAGGACTGACTATTGAGTATTTATAGAGTACTGTCTAGCAGCCATCAGTTCAAGCTCTCCTGAATTTTCAAGCTGCTCGCTGATAAAACACACTTTTAATTCACCTTTCTGTAATCTGTAAAACGCCTTTTGTAAGACTTTCAAAAATACCTTCATTTAACTGCATCAATTTTCATTGCAGTTTGGTCGACCACTGCCGCGAAAAAAGTGTACAAAGTATCACTTCCATCTGCATTAGTGTCAGAAAATCCAACAGAAGGGTTTGAAACGTTGTATTTCTTAACGGAGACCGACAATAATATAACAGCGAACGTTCATCAGAAATATAATTCTATTCAGTTTTCTATTAGCCTGAAGGTTTGACGTTTGTCAATCACCGCTGCAATTTAAATTAACGGTGTCATCTTACGCAAAAACCACAAGGGTCGTATTAAGACAAAAAAAAACCTCTGCATCATAAGCAGAGTTTGACCATCGGTTTTTGATGCCTTCAGGTCATAGTTTTTTAGGGAGATTTAGCTGCTGACACCGCTGTTCTGACTATAGAACCAGATGACAGAATAATCTTTGTGACCGGTACCGAACCTTTTGCGATTGTTGTTGCAGTAAGGAATCTACCAGCGATTGGAGGACAGAATGGCACTGATTTCGGGTGTTTCATGCCCAGCTCCTTTTTTCTTAGACGTCAGTTGTTCCTTTACGCAGTGCAACATTTTTTAAACACATTTCTGCTCAATATAACTCAGCTCTTACTTTTCACAATTTCCACAACCAACGCTTGACGCTTTCTTTTTAGACCGGCTAGAAAGTATTTTTACGACCGACCTGAAATTTGCTGATAGATTTCTTTTCACTGCTCGCAGCCAATATCAAGAAACGATTGACATAAAAGCTGAAGGAGAACTTAAGACTGAAATGTTATCTCTCAAAGCAGTAGTGCCAGAACCCCCACGCAGATTCAACCAGAGTGAATTTGGCGACATGATCAACTTCCAGTCAAGGCGAAATAATTTCTTCTGCTTCAGCAACATACACTATTTAGCAGTCTGTAGAATCCTAGACATGCAGTTTAAAAAGGCGCTTTAAAATATGAAGCTATACTTGAAATCCAATTAGAAATTAAAACACCCCTTCAGTTCACTCAGGCGCACACTAGAATCAATGAAGCTTCTGATTTTAGTGGTGGACTCGGAAATGTGGTACGTTATGGAAA